AAAAATGCACAATAAATATATAAAATATATTATAATATATTTTTATATTTTTATAAATTAAATTTTATTTATATATATATATGTGTGTGTGTGTGTGTTAAAGTGTTTTGGGGTGTTATTTTGTTTTGTGTGTATATGCGTGTGTGGGTTTTGTGGTGTTTTTTTGGGATGTTTGTGTGTGTAGGGGTGTGTGTGTGTTTGTGTATGTGTTGTGTGTGTGTGTTGTATGTGTGGTGTATATGGTGTGTGTTTGTTATGTGTGTATGTGTGTTTTTTGGGGTGTTTTTTACGTGTGGTGGTGTTTATACGTGTGGGGTGTGTTTTTTTACGGGGCGTTTCGCAATAATTTCGCAAAAAATCTAAACCTAACGAAAAAAAATATATTTCCTTGAAAAAAACCGGGCAAGTTTATAAATTAAAACCTGTGCAACTCTTTGGGGATCTTTTTTGGGGGGAAAAAAGTTTTTTTTCCCCATGTGGCTTCATAGTTTCCTACCAAGGGAAAAATGGGAAGAACAGGAGGTTTGAGGTAATCAGTTTCCCCCGCCTTTACCAAATTTTCCTTTGTATGGGGCTGATGAAGCCACTGTGTGGGCCAAAAAAGTTTCCTCATTTAAAAATACCCAAGTGTTGTTTTTTTTTGTCTAATTTATCATATTTCATTGAGTTTTTTTTTTATTATTAAATTATTGTAAAAATTTCTTAAAAATAAATTTTTTTTTGGGTAGGGCTAAAATTTAAAATTTCGCGGGGTTATAATGTTAGGTAAGTTTTCTAAGGTTCCTTTGGTACAAAATTACAATTTTTACATAAACGTAAATGCAACCACAAGCAGGTAAGGGCATTACCAGAGAGAGAGAGAAAGAGAAAGAGAGAGAGAAATAGAAAGAGAAAGAGAAAGAGAGAGAGAAAAAGAGAGAGAAAAAAAACCCAGCAAGACTGGACCTATATTCACTGATAGTGCAGATATTGAGGACATTACATATGAAAGACCCCTCGGGGTTAGTGATCATGTGGTTCTGAGCTTCTCATACATAGTAGAGTTACAAGTGGAGAGGGACACAGGAAGGGGAGGACGAATAAGCAAAACTACAAGAGGGTACTACACAGGCATGAGGAATTTCCTGCACGAGGTTCAGTGGGACAGAAATAGCAGGGAGATCAGTAAATGAGATGATGGAATATGCGACAATATGCAAGGAAGCAGTAGGAGAGGTTTGTACCCAAGGACAACAAAAATAATGAGAAGGCCAATGCAAGCCCTTGGTTCACCCAAAGGTGTAGAGGGTCAAAACCAAATGTGCTAGAGAATAGAAGTATAGAAGGCAAAGGACCCGGGAGAATAAGGAGAGTAGTCAAAGAGCCAGAAATGAATATGCACAGGTAAAGAGGGAGGCCCAACAATACAAAAATGATATAGCAGTAAAAGCTAAGTCCGACCTGAAACTGTTGTACAGTCACATCAGGAGGAAAACAGTCAACGGCCAGGTTATCAGGCTGAGGAAGGAAGGAGGGGAGATCACAAGAGACGACCAAGTAGTATGCGAGGAACTCAACATGAGATTAAAAGAAGTATTCACAGAGGAGACGGAGGACTTCAGTAGTTCAGCTATCATAACTTTGGGGACCAGTCCCTGGATCCATTATGTACCTCTGTAAATCTTTGACTACTGCCCACAGGATGGGTATGGAGTGCATAATGAAGATATTAAACTAACTTCAGAAAGACTGAGTGGTTGGTTACACACATCAAGCACGGGACAATGCATACAACCAAGGAGATGAAGAGGCTGTTAAGTGAACAAGATACCTCAAAGGCGATGAGGCCTGACATTCCCCATGGGTCCTGAGAGGGAACAGAGTGCTCTGTGTACCACTAACAACAATCTTCAACATATCTATTAAAACAGGGCAGCAAATGTAGTCCAAATGTAGTCCAAAATTAAAAAAAGAAGAGACAGACCAGCGTTAATAACATGTATAGTATGCAAAGTTGTGGAGAAGATTATCAGAAGAGTGGTGGAGCATCTAGAAAGGAATGAGCTTAACAACAACCAGCACGAATTCAGGGATGGGAAATCCTGTGTCACAGACCTACTGGAGTTTATGACAAGGTGACAGCAGTAAGAAAAGAGAAGGCTTTTGACAGTTCCACACAAGAGATTAGTGCAAAAGCTGGAGGACCAGGCAGGTATAACAGGGAAGGCACTGAAAAGGATCAGAGAATACCTGACGGGAAAGCATCAGCAAGTCATGGTACATGAATTGTATCAGAGTGGGCACCTGTGATGAGTGGGGTTCCACAGGGTCAGTCCTAAGACCGGTGCTGTAATCTGGTATATATGAATGACATGACGGAAGGGATAGACCCAGAAGTATCCTTGTTTGCAGATGATGTGAAACTAATGAGAATCAGTCGGATGAGGATCAGGCAGGACTACAAAGGGATCTGGACAGTCGGCTGCAAGCCTGGTCTAGCAAATGGCTCCTAGACTTTAACCCCACCAATTGCAGAGTCATGAAGATCAGGGGAAGGTCAAAGAAGACCGCAGAGTACAGTATAGAGGGCCAAAGACTACAAACCTCACTCAAGGAAAATGATCTTGGGATGAGTATAATACCGAGCACATCTCCTGAGGTGCATATCAACCAAATAACTGCTGCAGCATATGGGCGCCTAGCAAACCTAAGAACAGCATCCCAATATCTCAGTAAGGAATCGTTCAGGCCTCTGTACATCGTGTCAGGCCCATATTGGAGTATGCAGCACCAGTTTGGAACCCACACCTGGCCAAGCACAAGTGCAAAGGTCTGCAACGAGACTAGTCCCGGAACTAAGGGCCATGTCCTACGAAAGAGGTTAAGGAAAAATAACCTAGCGACACTGGGGGACAGGAGAGATAGGGAAGATATGATAACGACCATATAAAACACAGAGGAATTGATAACGTGAACAGAGACAGGATGTTTCGGAGATGGTACACAGCAACAAGGGGTCACAATTGGAAGTTAAAGACTCAGATGAATCACAGGGATGTTAGGAAGTATTTCTTCAGTCATAGAGTTGTCAGGAAGTGGAATAGCCTGGAAAGTGATGTAGTGGAGGCAGGAACCATATGTAGCTTTAAGAAGAGGTATGATAAAGCTCATGGAGCAGGGAGTGTGTGACCTAGTAGCTCCACCTAAAGTGGATGACCCACCAAGACGCTGTTATACCTGGAGTGTGTTCCTAGGGATCAACGCCCCTGCAAGCCCGGTGCGTGACCAGACTTCGCGGTGGATCAGGGCCTAATCAACCAGGCTGATATTGCTGGCCGCACGCAAACCGACGTATGAACCACAGCCCGGCTAGTCAGGTACTGACTTTAGGTGCCTATCCAGCTCCCTCTTGAAGATAGCCAGGGGTCTATTAGTAATCCCCCTTATGTATGCTAGGAGGCAGATGAACAGTCTTGGGCCCCTGACACTGTGTCCTCTCTCAGCATACTCATCTCGCCCCTGCTTTTCATGGAGGGAATGTTGCATCACCTGCCGAGTCTTCTGGTTTCGTAGGAGTGATTTCCGTATGCAGATTTGGGACTAGTCCCTCAAATATTTTCAAAGTGCATATTATCATGCATCTTTCTCGCCTAGATAGAAATAGTATAAAATACACACACTGGAAAAGAGACATACAATGAATGCTATCCTTGTTTGACAAGGTTTCGTAAATAATATATCTATTTGTAAAGCTCGCCCAATGTGGGGGCGAAATGTTATCAATAAATGATAGCATTATACAGTTATACTGCATTTCCCTCTTTCAAAACTGCTATTAGACGAGTAGTGGTCCCTCCGCTCTGCACCATACCTCGCTTCCTAAACCTTCCTTGTTACTAGATGTCATAACCAGTGCAGGAGGCGACCACAAGTTACCCAGGCGATAGGGCTGCGGGGGCTCCAGCTCCAGTAGGGCTGAGCTGAGAACAGAGCCTCATACCAGCAAGAACACGGGACCTTAAAGAAGCACCTAATTTCCCCAGCCGTCTAACATGTTCATTTTCCACTATAAGTCTACCTTGTCCATAATTACTATCGTACTTACTTTGTTTCGTAAGGTGAAGTCTAAGATCTTTCCTTAATTCACGGTATAACTTAAATGTATGAGGACAATCGTGTTGTAGAGGTTTGAGTCAAGGTTGCCAGAGATGCAACCTTGACTCCTGCTACTCCAACACCTCTGCTACTACCTACGAGCTCCGTGTGATTGGGGAAGGTAGTAGACGAGTCTGAGATGGCTCACCATCCTACTTAAACTGAGGACTGTACTGAGCCCCTACCATAGGGCTATAAACGGCACCCCATTTGTACAGACTCCAATATTCCCTTGGGAACTAGTGGCGGGTCACTATCTGAAGACAGCTTCATTATTTCGCCCCTGACGTATGTATTATCATCCTTGTACCGAACCGGAAAAAAAAATTCCCCGAGCGAAACGTCTCGGTAAATGTCCTAGTAGTACAAGTCTGTTTCTCTTCCCCTCTCTTACATATTGTCATTTATGCGATCAACCCAGAACACTAGGGCCAGACTTTATTTAGCCAAATTTAAAGGAATAATACTAGATATAATAAACAAGTTTTGAAACTTTCAGAGACTAAATTCTCGTGAAATTTTTCACTTACATGCAAGGTGAAGTGGGTCTCCAAATTCTGAGTGGAGAAGGAGAATAACAGAAGATCATCATCATCCCAAGCTAGTCGTGCCCAACGGCCGTCCCCATATTGGACACTACATGTCACTGGATAAGGTTTAGAGGTATTTGTGGCTTGAGTTTCCTGGATCTGAGCTGGTAAATTCACAGGAAAGCTGGCTTCCACCGACTCAAGTGATCCATGACCCAGATCAGTGTTTTGGCAAGCATCAGTAAGTCGCCTGTGTTTTAGTCTCACACTGTAACATCATCTCCATGCTATTGTCTTCTTTAGTAGTGCAAGGTTAGAAATAGCTTCTTCCTGAATTTTGGTTACTTTGAAGTTTTCTGTAACAAGCTGAGTAAATCGCTAACCGACTTTCTAACACTAATCACAAGCTGAGCTTCTAACATTTTACTAAGCTTACTGGTTTCCTCTTGCAGCCATTGTTTCTTCTCTTGGAGGATGACTCTTGATGATATAATGGTGTGGTTGTCATCTTTATGACTCTCGAAGATGCATAAACCACATGCAAGTCTCTCACACTCCCGGCACCAGTACCCCAGCGGCTCCTTGTGATTAACACACTCCTTAACCTTCAAATACCAAAAATAAAGAGAAAATAAAGGTTTTCATCTGGAAAAGAAAATTACCAGAAAACAACTGTTAAAAATTTTAATACTGCACTACAACCTTGCATCCTAAATATGCTAAACTTTGTGTATATACTCTAACTTCATTTACCGAACCTATCTAAGAATTTGCAGAAATGTAGTTGCCCGTTCAACCTTCAGGTAATTATCATATGTACAATTTAAAAACAAAGTCTACCCAAAAATAATTGCCTCATCCAAACAATTAACAGAATACTCAAGAGATGATATTTCTAAGTGAAGCATTTATACGATATAAACAGAGGTTGTAATGAACGAAAGCTGTGTGTCAAAATGTTAAATATTTACTTTGCTGTAACTAAAACAATCAAATATGAACAGGATGTGAATAACTGAGAATAAAAAGTTTAATAATTCGCGTTCAGCGCTAAATCCATGTGGATCATCCAGTGCAAGACGTGGTAGATGGAAGCTCGATCCTCAGTCTTTCGAACGCAGACACACGCGCTTCCTGTTTGTACTCACCGAGATATCTACTTGGAGAATAAGAACAAGCAACGAATGTGACGTTAGCACGTATGAATTAGACCTCTATGCTCACACCTCATTTTTAAAATTTAAATACAAATTATTCTTACTGCCTCCCAGCACACATAAGGGGGATTACCAACAGACCCCTGGCAGTCTTCAAGCTGGCACTGGACAAGCACCTAAAGTCAGTTCCTGATCAGCCGGGCTGTGGCTCGTACGTTGGTTTGCGTGCAGCCAGCAGCAACAGCCTGGTTGATCAGGCGCTGATCCACCAGAGGCCTGGTCACAGACCGGCCGCGGGGGCGTTGACCCCCGAAACTCTCTCCAGGTAAACTCCAGGTAAACTATACTCTATAAAGATTTTCGAACAGGAACAAAGAATTCAGCAAGAGTAACAGAACAAACTAAAAAAATAGCACCAAAAATACAGACAAAATATTCCCTAAATATTCGCTTCGACGTCCTTTCCCAGGAAAACAACTACCCAAGCTGAACAAATTTTTAATTGTTCCACCAAAACAAATCTTCATAAAAGTTACACAAAATAAGGCTTAATTTGCCTAAGCTTTAAGAATTTTCCTAACTATTTAGCTATGTGGTGCAAAATAAAGATGTTGAACTAAAACCTTCGAGGGAGAGTTCGCCTGAGAGGCTTATCTATCTCGACTTTTCTGGGGGGGGTTATCCTAGGTAATTTATACTAATTATGATCATTGTACTTCTGTGTACCTGTACCTACATAAATTTGAGCTCAACATGGATAAGTCTGAACGTCGGCATTCCACTACAGCCGCCCCCCGTCCCCCTTCCCTTGGTGCCAGTACCATTAATCAGGTCATCTTATTGCTAATACCCGTAAATGGATTTTTACTGGACGAATAAAAAAGAAAAAAAATCACCTGGGTAGTAGTGGAGTAAGTGTCAAGGACAGCGAGTATAGTGTAGCTGGGAGGAAGACAGGAGACTGTGCTGCGGCGTGAAGCTTACGGCAGGCAGGACAGGGCAGACCTCCGGTTTTCTCCAGAGTGAGAAGGCAGTGCCGGCAGAAGGTGTGACCACAGTGTAATGTGACGGGCTCCCGGGTACCAGCTTGGTATTCCTCAGAGCAGATCCCACAAGTCAATGCATCTTCCATTATATCTTCTTCTTCAGCCATCCTAGAGTATGAAGTAACAACAAATATAATACTCTCCAGACAACCTGCTTGAGCTTCAACTAAAACCTGACTGAGTCCCTGGACCAATTATGTACTCTGTAATCTTTTGACTACCGCCCACAGGATGGGTATGGGTGCATAATAAACATATTAAACATTAAGACGTGCCATATTCTGGGTCACTGATACATGAATTATGGAGTTATTTCTCATTTGTTCCGAGATTACTGACAGCTTCACATTCTCCCTCTCCCTGGGCTCTGAAGAGAGGAGAGGAATTTCTCTCACCCAATGAAGCTACAGAAAGGGAGGAGAGTGATTCCTTTTAAAACTAACATGCATATACCTATTACTGTAACACTCGTAACTATTGCGGCCAGCAGTAACAGCCTGGTTGATCAGGCCTGATCCACTGCAAGGCCTGGTTGCGGACCGGGCCGCGGGTGCGTTGACCCCCGGAACACCCTGCAGGTGTGCTTCAGGTATTACTGTGATCTGATCCTCTCTTTACTGTTAATGTAAAAACTCAGTTTACCTAATACCTAGTATATCTCCTTCTATTGTAACTACTGTTCATACAGTTCTGTTGCCTAGCCGTTTCAATTTTTTAAGGTTTCGGGGTTAACGCCCCCGCGGCCCGGTCTGTGACCAGGCCTCGCAGTGGATCAGGGCCTGATCAACCTACTGCTTGGACGCACGTAGACTGACGTACGAACCACAACCCGGCTGGCCAGGTACTGACTTTAGGTGCCTGTTCAAAGCCTTCTTGAAGACAGCCATTGGTCTATTGGTAATACCCTTTATGTATGCTGGGAGGCAGTTTAAGTCTTGGGCCCCTGACATTTTATTGTTTTCTCTTAGTGTGCTCGTAGTGCCCCTGCTTTTCACTGGGGGGAAATTGCACTGCCTGTCGAATCTTTTGCTTCTGTAGGGAGTGATTTCCGTGTGCAAATTTGGTACTAATCCTCTAGCCAATAATGTGCACACAAATGGAGCTAACTCTCCACACAACCAATTACAGTTGGTGTCCCACAGGGAAGTGTCCTTGGCCCACTTCTCTTTCTCATTTACATAAACGACCTACCAAATGCATCTCAACTACTCAAACCCACACTATTTGCAGATGACACTACATGCGTCTTCTCTCACCCAAGCCCAGTCATACTAGCCAATACTGTAAATACTGATTACAGAAAATATCTACCTGGATGATGATTAACAAGCTTACTCTCAATATTGATAAAACCTACTTCATTCAGTTCGGGAACAGAACCACAAATGCTCTACTTAACAATGATAAACGGTTCACCTGTCACAAAGCTCACAGAGGGAAAATTTGATAATACTCAAATTTCAGACACATGTACAACAAATTTCCAAGAAAGTCTCCAAGGCCGTAGGCATACTATCGAAGATACGGTACTATGTTCCACAATCGACTCTCCTGGCCCTATATCACTCATTTGCCCCAATCTCACTTATGGAATCTGTGCATAGGGCTCAACAACAATAAATCATCTCAGACCATTAATTACCCAACAAAAGGCTGCAGCCAGAATGATAAATTCCCACTCCAGACAGCATACTCCACCAATATTCAAAGTCTAAACTACCGTACAAACATCCATACTTATTATTGTGCCTACTACATACATAGAACACTAACTCAGATATAAACCCTCTCCTCAAACTTCTCCTTACCAACCTTAACAGCACACACGACCATAACACAAACAGATCACTCTTTGATGTTCCACGTGTCATCTCACACTATGTAAAAACTCAATGCACATACAAGGTCCAAAATTTGGAATTCATTACTCGTGAATACCAAAGAAACATGTTTACCAATTTTAAGACAACTTAAAAAAACCACTTACTTACCCAAAACTAAAACACACAGTACCTAACCTTACCTACAAAGTTAACAAATCACTTTCTACTGCCTCAAAATATCATTACACACTGTTACTCCCCTGAGCCCCCTCAGAGCCCCATAATTAAATGCTCAAAAGATCAATAAATATTGAATAACTTATACTTCATAAATGTATAACCCGTTACCCTATGGAAATAAGTTTTTAATTGCATTACCTAATATAATAATCCATTCTTTTGAATGCACAGTAACTCATCTCATGACCATATGAACCGTTTCTGCACTACAAATCGTTGATTTTATTCGCTTTGACCTGATTAATAAATTGTACGACTACATATAGTAAACTGACATTTTATTATATTATACATTGTAATGCAACTATAATGCTTCAAAACTGAAATGTTCGAATTTCATTGTTTAAAATATTCAATTGTAGCTCATATTGTAAATTGTTTACTGTAATTTTTACTACTGAATCTACTATAGCTGTAGTTAATCTTAAGTTAATTTTAAGCTGCCCATATGCTCTGCATACAAGGGGCCTTTGGCATGTAAACCCAACTTTATACCTTACCTTTGATATACCTTTGAAGAATTTCGAGAGTATATCTACTCTCTGAGCCCGGCCATGGGTCAGCTCGTCTGTGCTCGCCTGATTAACCAGGCTGTTGCTGCTGGAGGCCCGCTGCCCCACATATCCATCACAGCCTGGTTGATCTGGCACCTGGTGAAGATACTTGTCTAGTTTCCTCTTGAAGGCTTCAACACTTGTTCCAGCAGTGTTTCTGATATCTTCTGGTAAGATGTTGAAAAGTCTGGGACCCCGGATGTTGATGCATTGTTCCCTTATTGTCCCCCGCCGCACCCCTGCTCTTCACTGGGTTTATTTTACACTTCCTCCCTAATCTCTCACTCCAGTATGTTGTTATGACAGTGTGCAGATCTGGGAACTACTATAATTTCCTTGTACAACTATGTATCATGCCTTAATAAACTATTATTATTATTATATCTTTCCCGCCTGCGTTCCAGGGAATACAAGCCAAGGAACTTCAACCATTCCTAGTAATTTAGGAGTTTTTATCGTACTTGTGTCTGCCGTGAAGCTCTATACACTCTCCAGGTCAGCAATTTCACTTGCCTTGAAAGGAGCCGTTAGCGTACAGCAATATTCCAGCCTAGAAAGAACAAGAAATTTGAAGAGAATCAGCATGGATTGGGCATTCCTAGTTTTGAAGGTTCCCGTTATTCATCCCATCATTTCTCTAAGAGATGTGGGATACATTATTGTGATCTCTGAAAGTGACATCCTCTAACATTATCACTCCCAGGTCCTTCACATTAGTTTTTCTCTCTCTTGTGCGGTTGGAATTTGTTTTATAACTCCTATACAGTTATAATTTTCTCAAGTTTTCCATATCGGAGTGATTAAAATTTCTTTTCACTGAACTTCATACTGTTTTCTGCTACCCAATTAAAGATTTTGGTTGATGTCAGTGTGGAGTCTTGCAGTGTCCTTCGATGGATGACACTGTCATGCAAACTCGGGTGTCATCCGCAAAGGAAGACACGAGGATGAGGAACAAGGATGGGAGAGAGTACTGTGCCTTGTGAACAGAGCTTTTTCACTGTGGCCGCCTCAGACTTTACTCTGTTCACTATTACTCCGTGTTTTATTTTTTAGGAAGCTATAGATCCATCTACCAACTTTTCCCGTTATTCCCTTTTCACTTATTTTGTGCGCTATTACACCATGGTCACACTTGTCGAAGGTTTTCGCAAAGTCTGTGTATGCTACATGTGCATTTTGTTTCTCTAAAACATCCAAGACCTTGTCATAGTGATCCAGTAGTTGGGCAAGGCAGGAGCGGCCTGCAATAAATCCATGTTGCCCTGGGTTGTGTAACTGATGGGTATCTAGATGGGTAGCGATCTTGCTTTTTAGAACCCTTTCAAAGATTTTTATATGGGACGTTAGTGCTATTGGCCTGTAATTCTTTGCTATTGTTTTACTGCCCCATTTGTGGAGTGGGGCTATGGCTCTTGTTTTAAGTGACTGAGATGACGCCCATGTCCATGCTCCCTCTCCATACAATGCTAAAGACGTGACAGGGGCTTCTTGCCCCTGTTTACCTGGAGAGAGTTCCGGGGGTCAACGCCCCGCAGCCCGGTCTGTGACCAGGCCTCCTGGTGGATCAGAGCCTGATCAACCAGGCTGTTACTGCTGGCTGCACGCAAACCAACGTACGAGCCACAGCCCGGCTGGTCAGGAACCGACTTTAGGTGCTTGTCCAGTGCCAGCTTGAAGACTGCCAGGGGTCTGTTGGTAATCCCCCTTATGTATGCTGGGAGGCAGTTGAACAGTCTCGGGCCCCTGACACTTATTGTATGGTCTCAACGTGCTAGTGACACCCCTGCTTTTCATTGGGGGGATGTTGCATCGTCTGCCAAGTCTTTTCCTTTCGTAGTGAGTGATTTTCGTGTGCAAGTTCGGTACTAGTCCCTCTAGGATTTTCCAGGTGTATATAATCATGTATCTCTCCCGCCTGCGTTCCAGGGAATACAGGTTCAGGAACCTCAAGCGCTCCCAGTAATTTAGGTGTTATATCTTCGTTATGCGCGCCGTGAAGGTTCTCTGTCCATTTTCTAGGTCAGCAATTTCACCTGCCTTGAAAGGTACTGTTAGTGTGCAGCAATATTCCAGCCTAGATAAAATAAGTGACCTGAACAGTGTCATCATGGGCTTGGCATCCCTAGTTTTGAAGGTTCTCATTATCCTTCCTGTCATTTTTCTAGCAGATGCGATTGATACAGTGTTATGGTCCTTGAAGGCGAGATCCTCCGACATGATCACTCCCAGGTCTTTGACGTTGGTGTTTCGCTCTATTATGTGGCCAGAATTTGTTTTGTACTCTGACGAAGATTTAATTTCCTCGTGTTTACCATATCTGAGTAATTGAAATTTCTCATCGTTGAACTTCATATTGTTTTCTGCAGCCCACTGAAAGATTTGGTTGATGTCCGCCTGGAGCCTTGCAGTGTCTGCAGTGGAAGACACTGTCATGCAGATTCGGGTGTCATCTGCAAAGGAAGACACGGTGCTGTGGCTGACATCCTTG